AGTTGCATTTTGGCCATGTTGTTAATGTGTATCACATAATCTAGATTAGTAACAAATCCCAACAGAATGTATATGATATTGCTGTATTGATTATTTATCACAGTATTTACACATTTTTACCGTAAACCATGTTTGAGGGTGGATTACCTGTTTGGAGATGTGGACTGTTTCACAGAGGATGCACTTTCTGTCTCTCGCCATCTTGAACACAAGTGGAAATCAGGTCATTACTGTCAACAGAGACATTTTTAATAAACGACTGTTAAAGGATTCATCAATCACAGCTTGCAAAGGACAAAGCAACGACCTTCTGTAAATCCATCCTGATTAATAAATATATGTGGTGCAGTGAGTGTAGTTCAACCTGAGTTGGATATTGTGACTATCAATAATAATCCTGTGCAGTGTTTGCAGCACCAACTCATCAAACCAACACAGTAGAGGGAGCTCAAGGCTCATTTCCTCTAAACAAGTAGATATTCAACCAACATGCCTCGGCACCCGCAGCCTAAATGCCAGCACAGTGAGCAGAGTTCAACCTGGACACTGGTCTAATTCCAGTCTGCTGAGTGAGCAACTCTGTGGCCAGGAGGCAGCAGAGCCACGGCAGCATCAGAGCTATGTCTGGACTTGTTGAACGTTCACAAACAGGGTGTGAAACTCATGCCGGCCACAAGTCACAGGCTGGTGGAGTTACACCTGTGGCTGTTTCTACACTAACATCACCGTCTCAAGCTGCAGCTGACCATGTGGAGACTCTTTTCTCTTCTAACGTGTTACTGGTTTCTACATTAGATTTAAAGTAATCTAAAGATAAAAGAAGATATCAGTATGAACCTCCAGGAAAGTGTTAGTTCAGGTGCAGGATGAAGCAAAATCAATTTATGAAGAAGAAAAACATCTGCGTACTGAGAGTTTATTTATCTACGCATGATCTATCTTGTTTTTTAAGTGCGCTAACTCAAATCTGCCTGATACCAAAGACAAACGTTACCCCAGTGCAGTCTACCCTTCCTACAGCCAACACTGGAAACAGATCTGATGGGGTTACTGATTTGCTAAGAACAAGAAGGGATTGTGAGAAAATAATTAATGGTATTATGAGACTGATATTTTGGCACGGTCAGTCTTCACTGGGTTAAAAAAAAACACAAAAATCAGGATTCTTGTAGATTATTGTGTATGAAGATTAAAACCTGAGTTTTGTGTCTATTTGACAGAATGAAAACTAACCAAAACATTACGCGTCAGACTGAAATTACAGGAAACAAATCTATAAATGTGGCTTTTTTTTTTTAAAATAATGACGGGGCACGCCTTCTATCGTTACCATACCCTGGGTGACTAAAATCAGTCGAAGCAGCAAAGTTTAATACAGAGTAAGTCTAATAACGACCATGAGTAAGGTCTGGAGACCCCTTCGTCCTCAGTAATTAGACCTATATTCTGTTTATGACATTACTCCTCACTCCCAAAGCACCAGAGGGCAGCTATTTATAATGCCAGTATAATCCGTGGGGTCAAACTGTCTCTGTGTCTTTGAATCTGTAGGTGGCAGCAGGCAGGACAGCACAAAGACTCCACATTAATCTCTGAGTATAGCTACTGATGGACCTCTTTAGGCGACACTGCCTTCAAAACAGAGCTGGTCAGGGCACAGAGAGAGATGTTTAATGTTTAGAGAGAGTTTAATAATCCTCTGAGAGCCTCATGCATTGACTGAAAATGACTGTTGTCTTATAGGAATAAAGCTGGGAGATCAAACACAAAAGCAATGCACGGTGCAGAATCAGAAAGAGGCACTAAAACCACGAATGCACAAAGCGACTGCAGCTTGTTCGGTTAACAGCAGGCTAACTGGAGCTTTCGGGTTGCACGAACATGTGAACACTTATACGATGATACCTGAGGTTATAAAGAAAGCGACTTCACAGCTGCGCCAACTTTAACGTGAAAGAAACCAGACCTACGTTTATTGTTTGTTGTGAGCCTCGCTGTGGCTATCTGCTGCACTAGATTAACATCACACCGTGTGCTGCAGTGTCTCCTAATAATCTGACCGAAAAGCAAACAAAACGCTCAGCAAACCTACGAGCTACGACTCCAGAGCGAATTAAAATGAAAGTTAAATAAGCGCTGCAGCCCAGTTAGCACGTTAGCAACAGCATGCTATCCAGCGACACCAGCGTTAAAATAATAAATATAATAAATTATAAAAGCGAGAGAACGAGCAGCTTAGTCAAAATGTTTTCGTACTTTTTTTTTTGCTACCTTTATAACATCCAAATGTGTGTGGGGCTACTGCATTTCCTCATCCACCGTAGAAGCTGCTAACAACAACAACTACTACAACAACAACAACAACAACATCCTCCTCCGCGCGCCCGGACCGGAACTACAACCCACGACGCGTTCAAGGACGTCGCTGTGCAGGAAAATCGAGTTCAGTGTTGCGTTCAATGTTTTATCTAACAGTTTTAGTTACGTTTTTTAAGTAAGTAAGTATTGCATTCACTTGAAGTTTGTTTTTTGGTTTGTTTTTCGGAGTAATTTTTTTTTTCTGTCTGTTTTTTGGAGTAATTATTTGTGTTTTTCAGAGTAATTATTTGTGTTTTTCAGAGTAATTATTTGTGTTTTTCAGAGTAATTTTTTATTGTCTGTTTTTCGGAGTAATTATTTGTGTTTTTCAGAGTAATTTTTTTTGTGGTTGTTTTTTCGGAGTAATTATTTGTGTTTTTCGGAGTAATTATTTGTGTTTTTCCGAGTAATTATTTGTGTTTTTCAGAGTAATTTATTTTTATGGTTGGTTTTTCGGAGTAATTATTTGTGTTTTTCCGAGTAATTTTTTTTGTGGTTGGTTTTTCGAAATAATTATTTTCAGATTTTCTGAATAATTGTTTTTTTCTGTTTTTCTGACAATTTTTTTTCTGAGTTTAGAGAGCATTTGAAACAANNCATTCCTTTATTGAGAGCTCGATTTAACAGAAAAAAA